CTACATTTTTAGACTATACAATTTGAAATATATTACTTTCAGAATTTTCCATGCCTTTATATTCTTTGAGTAGAAAACTTTAAATATTCTATTTTCAGTTTAGTCATTGCTGAGCGTGTACTTGCCTTCAGTGGAAGTTTGCTGCAACCACCCTGTATAGCTGGTATGTGCAGCTACCATACAAAAAGTGAATATTCAATTGATTTAAAAAAATTTCCAGCTAGTTGCACTGCTCTTCCTCCACACTGTTATAAACATGCACGTGTGCGCGTGTGAATATTTATGGTATATAGAGTTACCATATATATTCATATTTACATATATACTCGCTTGTTTTACATAAATGTTTGTTATACACTCCATTATTATTTGTTTGTTTGCGTAGCAGCTTTGGCGTTTTTCCATACTTATTCTATTATTTTGGTGTTATTTTTTGATAGACTCATAGCAACGTTTTCACGCTTCCGTGCAGATTTATGTGTGTTCCGTGCGCCTAAAAGCGTGCTACGAACACATTTTTACGCTTGATTTCCTGCATATTAGGGTTAACGGCATCGTATCGATGTTATTGAATTCTCAAATTCAATTTGTGACGCCTGTTGTTGTAATGGCAAGGCCACTTTAAATTTTTGTTGTTGTTTTTATACACGTTTCGCCCTACAAATATGAATATGATACAAGCAAGACACGCGTTCCAACGTAAAACAAACATTTGCTTGTGCCTGGTTGTGCATTGAGGTACGCGTATTAAGTTCAGTTCTGCGGATACGTTAGGCATTCTCTAAAGCGACGGGTAGCATAACTGTAGTCGCGCTAAATTGAATTTTGCAAGCATTTGCATTCGATAACACTGTAAATGTGTGTGGCTGAGCGCGGGTGGTGTTGGAGGATGCCATCACGTGGCATGATTTTTATGCGACGACGTGTATATGCTCATCAGCCAACGCTATTTTTGCTCATCTGCAAAACATCAACTCGCATTTGTGCTCGTGTAGGCAAGCAAGTACATCGCTTTCCGCTCATATTTGCCAATAATGCCGTTGAGTGCTTCATATTCCCTTAAAATGCAGCAGTAAGCGTAACACTGACTTTTAAAGTGTGCTTATTATATCAAAGCTGTTACAGCGCTGAGCCATTATTGCGTAAATACTTGCAAGACAGTCGCGCTTAACTCGAAGATATCAGCTGCGTTACTACTTTTGCTATAATTTTTGTTTACTGTAAGCACTGATCGGCTGTTCGCTTCGCTTAATTAATACCTTACTGATTTTATTGCATATAAATATATATATGTATATATATATATACATAGTTCCTAGGTGGAACATTGGGACTAGGGATTTTATTGTAATGTTGCTACTCTCTAAAAAAAATATTGTTTAAAGTTTATTATCAGGATAAATGACAAAGAATTTAATTTCTATTGAAAATTGTAAAGGTCATTTATTTTGTTTGTGTTGATGTGCAGCCGCAGTTAGCATATTATTTCATTTGAACGAGAAAACCAATGAAAATTGGATTTTGACAGACATTTTTCCA